AATGGTAAAGAGATTGTAGTGGGAGATGATAGTTGAGAGATCGTTGTCAGGTGACGCTAGTGAAATGATCATAGTTGAGCGACAATATTCATAGGATTGTAGTTGGACAATAGTATTTGAAGTGTTGTAGTCAGGTGATGTTGGTTAAAGGGTCACAGTAGAACATAAGTGGTCAAAGGATCATACTCGACCAACCATCATTCACATATTGTAGTTAGGTGATGGTGAGCTGGTTATTGTAGTTGGGTGACGGGCTTGATAGCAGTTGGAGGACAATAGTCAGGGGGTGTGGGTCAAAGAACTATAATCGAGCAATGATAGTTAGAGAATCATAGTTGGGTGCATGTTAGTGATCAAAGGTTGGTAGTCATGAGGTGGTGGTAAGAGGATTGTAGTTGGGGACGATGATCAAAGAATTGTAGTCTGTCAATAGTAGTCAGAAGATCGTAATCAAATTATGATGGTCGAAAGACTGTAGTCAATTGATGATAATTTGAAGATCATATATAGTTGGGCGGCACCATTTAGAGGACCATAATGAGATGAATGATTTTATTTAGCTAGCCACATTTTAATTTGACAAAAAAATTATGCATTGTTAAAACCTTCTGATAACATAAAATTTGAAATAAGCATGTCTGATAAAAACTATCAAACTAAAGATTTTAAAGCACTTCTCATAAAATTATGAGTAGGCACAGTTGTAAAAGTCCGGCTGAAGAACTCTGAACAATTAAATATTAATTAATCATAATTTTAATGCTACAATTTCATGCATAATACATCAAAAAATAATTTAGAAATAAAACAAATACTTTTATTCATAATATTATCACTAGAGCATAAAAATATTAATTTTTATCCTTACTAGTCATAGTGATAATTCATAATGTAAAGCACTGTGTATAAGAAATTGCATGTCTTGCTTTAAATAAAGTTAAGAAATTTACATGTATCACTGAAATAACGTGTCATGGCTTTCTTTTTTCTTTATTGGTTTCACGCTTATGCGAACCACAAAATCACGCGACTTGTGACCACTACTTATTTTATTGTTTTAAAAGTAGTGTGAATATTTGACACGGCTTGAAAATTGATTCTGATCTTATTTAAAAAATTTTAAGTTTGAGTCAACCCGTTTGTGAGATAGAGTTGGATTCGAGTTCAAAAATATGACCCATTTAAAAAATCAGGTTGGATTTGAGTTGACCCGGCATCTTGAAATTAACCCGAAGTTGACATGATTCTAGGTCCGCTAGTGTCTCAACACGTTCATCACGCGCCCAACCCTCGACTTGGTAGCCTTCACATCACCACCTCAACATGCACCACACGCGGCAGCATCACGCCCGCACGAGCCATGTCGGCCTCCTCACCTAGCCTGCATGATCTCCTCGGGCCTCGACTTGGCCGTATTCATCACATAGTTCACACCCAGCCCTCGGCCTGGTAGCCTTAACCACACCCGTCTGACTGCCTTGGTCCTTGGCCTGGCCGCCTGATCGCCTCGACCCTCGCCTAGCCCGCCTGACTGCATTCACCAGGCCCATCGAGTCAACCCGGTAATCCACGTGGTTCGGGTTAGCAATTCGGACCCGTTTACAATACTAGACCGGGTTAGGATCAGCCCATTTAAACTCAGATCAATCTGAGTTTGACTTGAATTCGACCTGAGGACCCATTTTGATGCCCTTATTTAAAAGATATTTGTAGTAAAAAAAATATTTTCTACTAAAATTTTTGAAAAAATTATTTTCTCTATAACATCTTTATAAAATAAGAAGATAATCATCTCAAATTATTTTTGAGCATCAATCACAATTTTATTTGACCATTATTTTTTATTGTTTTCTCACTTCTTGTCAAATATTTTTATGTTGAAAGTTGTTTTTAATAAATAAAGTCATTAGGATTTCATTTGAGATAATTTTTTGTCATAGTTTTTTCACAGCTTTCAAAAAAATCTTAATTAAAAAATTAATTTAAATTAACTGCTTGTATACAGTAGTTGTAATTTTGGTTTAAAGAGAGGGGGTTTTGTAAAATGTAAATTTGGCAATCGTGATGTGTATATATCATGTGAGTTGCCATGCAGTTAATGGAATCTGGTGAGGATTGTTTTATTTGTTTTGATTAACTCTTTGGTTATTGTGCATCTTCAAGGTGATAGGTCATCTTCGGGGAAAATTATTACTTATGGCGTCCGAGGTGAATCCGGACGGGTCACATCACCTAGGACCCAGTGTATTTGGATGACATGACGCGTCTGAATTCGCCTCCGAACGATCCAGACATCGCACGTAATAATCTCTCCATGATCGGACTGTCAATTTTTACTGATAAGCTCAAAATGATTTGGTTGCAGATATTTATATTTTATTTGCGAGACATCTTTTTTATTATTTTTTAAAATATTTTTTAGTATTAAAATTTATTGAATTAAACAATTTGTGCTTAAAATTTTCTTTAAAAAATAATTGGGGGTGAACGATATACAATCTAGGGAGATTTACATACATACCACTTTATACTACTCTATTTACATATTTAACACTTAAAATTTTAATATTACATACATACCACCCTTAGTTCATTTTAATATCAAATATGAGTGGTAAAAATGAAATATATGAGTGATAGGAAAGAAATATGAGTGGTATATTTGATATTAAAATAATATATGGTGGTATGCATGTAATATTAAAGTTTTGGGTGTTAGATATGTAAATAAGATGTTATAAAGTGGTATGTATGTAAATTTCCCTAAAAGGTATCCCATGAAACTAGCTGATGTTTAAAAAATAAAATGATAAAAATGGAAAAAACAAAATTAACCGGGCCTCTTTGGTTATTGTGCATCTTCAAGGTGATAGGCCATGATCGGACCGTCAATTTGCAATGAGAAGCTCAAAATGATTTGGTTGCATATATTTATATTTTATTTGTGGGAGACATTTTTTTATTATTTTCTAAATAATTTTTTAATATTAAACTTTATTGAATTAAATAATTTGTGCTTAAAATTTGCTTTAAAAAACAATTGGGGGTGAACGACGCAGCGATAGAGTTGCAATTATATGTCTTAGCGTTGCACGGATATTCAGCTCACACATAGAGAACACAAGATTTTTTATGTGGAAAATCCTGTAAAGGGGAAAAACCACGGGGCCTAGCCCAGTTGAAAAGATTTCACTAATATTTAAGTTAAGTACAATGGGCTGACTTGTCCTCGAGGGTGATCAAATTATAAATGTCAACTGTATGGTTGAAGTCTAGTGTTAAAATCTGGCGTTACTTGGAAGTTGGGGCATCAGTTAGTAGTCTGATAATGACTTGGTAGAATTCTGGCGCCACTTGATGGTCTGGCGGAGTTTAGGGCCTCAAGTAGTGTCCGACGAAGGTGAGGGCCTCATGTGGTAGTCCGGCGAAGGCGAGGGCCTCAGGTGGTGGTCCGGCGAAGGCGAGGGCCTCAGGTGGAGGTTTGACAAAGGTGAGGGTATCAAGTGGTGGTCCGACGAAGCTCCAATGGTGGTCAAGGCGGAGCTTCTTCCTTCTCTTCCTTATCTTCTCTTCTTCTCTTCTTCTCTTCTTCTTTTCTTTTCTTCTTGCTTGTATCCTTTTTCTAGAGAAATGAGGGGTCTATTTATAGATTCATGGAGTGGCATGACCCGTAAATAGGTGAGAGATCAAGGATAAATGGGGAGTGGTTGGATGGACGGCCGATGCTGAATCCCTTGATCATGAACCGCTTAATGGACATTTGAACATCTTATCTATGTCAAAATTCAATGATCTTGGGCTTTTTGGATTCGTCTCGTCGGCCGCTCGATTTAACTATAAGAATGTTATGTTTGGAAACCGAATGGGGAGTGGTTGGATGGACGGCCGATGCTGAATCCCTTGATCATGAACCGCTTAATGGACATTTGAACATCTTATCTATGTCAAAATTCAATGATCTTGGGCTTTTTGGATTCGTCTCGTCGAGCCACTCAATTTAACTTATGTTTGGAAACCGTTTGGTAATCCAAATTATTGTTCAAACCTTCCAACAACACTTCTAACCCTTGATTTGGACCCATTTGGACCCTTGATATGGAGTGGCATCAATTATAATTATTTTTTAACTTATATATTAATTTACATTAAACTTTTTTATGAATAAAATATTACTTTTTTACTAACACATATAGACTATAACTCATCTTAATTTATTAGTTGAGAGTTTAAATTTGAAACAAAAAAATTTTAAGTTTAAGATTTTTTCATTTTTATGTATGACGATTTAGTTCGTCTAAAATAAAATAAAAATTTAATTAACCCTTTATTTATAAAAACATTAAAAACTTATTTCGTCATGTTGAATGCCCCATCTGTTATGGAATCAAGCAATTCACAATTGTCTGCATCGGAAATTCCGTGGTGCATATTATTACAGTATAAATAATATTTACGTGGCAACTTTTGGACCCATAATAAATAAAACATATCAAACGCACTAATATATACTATATCATTAAAATTTTTTTTATGCAGCTTAAAATCTAAGCAACTTCCCGAAGCTTCTACAATCTTTTTTATTATTTTAAAAGTAATATCAAATAAACTTATATAATCCTCTTTTTGATATTTTTTTTTGAAACATTTAAATTAATTGAGATAAAATATAATTTTTTTATTATTAATAATCAGATTTCTCAATAAACAGATGAAGATGAGCCATGTATATTTTTGATAGTTAATTTGTTAATTTTAATAAATTCAAATTTAATTTAATCACTGGCAATAATTTATAACGTTTTTTTAAATAATTATATTAAAATATTTTGATAGAAATTATGTTAAGATGATTTAAAATTATTATATTTATTTTAATATTAGTATTAATTTTATAATTTATAATTTATAATTTTATTTGTTATAATTTATATAGAGATATTTGATAAAATTTTCTTTTTTTTTAAACAAATTTCCTTTTTTCCCCTCTTTCTTCCGTTCATCGGTGCATTGTCAATCTCTGTTATTTTATTTTACATGTACTAAATTAATAGCCCTTCGATGGCCGCATCCATATACTATTTCGGCGCTTCACTTCCGCTACTTCCCGTCCGAGGCGGAATCCGGCGAACTCCCGTTGCTGCAGTTCCTCTTTCTCTGAGGATCAGGCGACAGAGATGCGGCGGTGGATGCACCTGCATGCCCGTTATGGCTTGCTCGACTTCGTTACCGTTCGAGGGGAGGGCGGGGTGGTATCGGAGAAAGGGAAGCGTCACTCTATTCTCTGTCGGGTTGAACACTGGAAAATCCGGCGCTGGAAAGGATAGGGCCGAGGCTATCTCTCAGGCGTTGTCGGCAATGCTCCCTTATGTTGTAGCTGCCACTGCTGTTGCTTCGCTCGTGAATCCCTCAACCTTCTCCTGGTTAGCTGCTTTGCTATTCATGTTCTAGTACCTGTGAATTTGGGGGTTGGATAAAAGAGGAATGAGGAAGGACGTAATAACTTGGTTTGATGTGAAAGGATAAGAATTGGCGTTTCTGAAGTAATGGGACACTGGTGGTTTTGAATTTCAAGCGAGTTTTTCTAGGGTTTGGACGAAGTGTTTGTGTGGATTGAATTAAATTTAATGATGTCCAGTTCTGTTGTGAAGTGTGGGGATGATATAGATTAGATTTAAATGCTTTAGACATGTATAAAAAGAGGTAGACTGTGCTCCTCATAACCAATTCAACTTCCATTAACTTCTTCAATTACTCGACAAACTCCTTGAAATTTCAAAATGACTGAGAATGGACACCACTTATAAACCTAATAAGGAGTATATGTCAACAGGCCCGCCGCATTGGTTATCTAAATAAACCTTATATAACTTGGAGTATGTTCTTGAAATTTCCATGAACTAAATAATCACATATAATTGGTTTTAGTTAATGATACCATTCTTCAAGGCAAAGTATAACTGAATAATCCAAGTGAAAAGATGTTCACATTTGGAGATAAGCTGGTTATGCTACTTCTCTAAAGTAATATTTGCTGCTAGATGATTTGTGTAGATTATGATTATCTGTTTTTCTTTTTATGGTAAAATTGAAGGTATGAACTGTCTTGGGTCATAAAATCATAATTTCAGGGCTGATGATGATTTGGATATGCATTATGAGTTTTTATTAGTTATGAACTGTTATGATATATATAGATTTTACCAGACTTTCTGCAATTTTGAATGGATTCAAGTGAAGGCATAGTATTGTGAAGAAATTGGGACCCTGAATTTTGAAGTTCCTTTATTCTTATATTTCTAAATTGTGGAAAAATTATATTTTTAACAGGGTACAATGGAGAAAAAAAGGATTCATGTAGTTGACTCCACATAGTGGGATAAAGGCTTGATATTGTTATAGTAGTTGTTGTTGGAATAATTTGTTTTTGGTAAAATGATTGTAGGATTTAAACACAATTCTTTTCTCCATATCTAGGGTATCAAAAGAATACTATGCTCCTGCTCTTGGAGGGATCATGCTATCTATTGGCATCAAGCTATCTATTGATGATTTTTCCCTTGCCTTTCAGAGGTAAGCTTGCTTATTCTGTATTCCCTCTTTGAATTATTACCAATATCATGAAACTCATTTTCTGACTTCTAATTTTTCATTATTTTGTCACACGAATATCAAGACCTTTACCACTTTCGGTTGGCTATGCTGCACAATATGTACTCAAGCCACTTTTGGGCTTGTTGATTGCAAGGGCATTCAAAGTTCCTTCGATGTTCTACGCTGGCTTTATTCTTACAAGCTGTGTAGCAGGCGCTCAACTCTCAAGTTATGCCAGCTTTTTGAGCAAAGGAGACGTGGCATTGAGTATTTTGCTAACCAGCATAACAACCATCTCTTCTGTAATTGTTACACCTTTGCTCACTGGCCTTTTAATTGGCTCTGTAGTTCCAGTTGATCCAGTTGCAATGTCCAAATCGATCTTGCAGGTATTATCATGCATTAAAGGCCATGGGAGATTATTATTTTATATTATTTTCCTGCTGAAGCAAATTTTTTTGTCAAAATTTTATACTTGAGGGAATATTTATAATCTTTGGTGAGCATTGTATTTTAATCAAATTGTTGTGCAGCAGTTGGCTAAATAATATGTTAAAATAACCACCATCACATTGTTTTGTTAGACATAAATATACGAATTTCCAAAGAAAGTAATAAGTTAATATATTTTGATTCCCAGGTTGTGCTTATTCCTGTCACTGCCGGTCTTGCCCTCAACACATATGCCAAATCTGTGGTAAATGCAATTCGGCCTATAATGCCTTTTGTTGCCTTGTTCTGTACGGCGCTTTGTATTGGAAGTCCTCTTGCGATAAATAGGAGCCAAATTTTATCTTCAGAAGGTCTCCTATTGCTTCTACCCATAGTGACATTCCATATTGCGGCCTTTGCATTGGGTTATTGGGCATCCAAGTTGCCTTTTGCGAGGTGCATTCAAGTTTCTAAGTTTTATGTATCTCAGTGCTTTCTTAAACTTAATGATGTGGGAAAAACTGCTCTTTTACTGCTTCTATGTACTTCATAAACACTTTGTATACACATATCTCTGATTGGTGCTGCTTTGTGAAGTACAAACGTGCTACTAAATAATCTCTTCTAAGGCAACTAATTAGGCCAAGTTGAGTGAGGATGGTGTGTAGTAATCCTTGCTAATCTTTATTACCTCTTTCCTTCGAGCACTTGTAGCTTTTCGATGATTATTTGATTGAATTTTTTCTCGTTAAAACTTTTTTCATTAAAGTGTTCAGCGACCATTTTATCTGGCATGTAGGAATCCGTTAAGTATCAGTATATTATTTTGAATCCGAAAATTGTACAATCTAAATATGCAAAATGGGCTACAAACAAGATGAAACAACCAACAATTATGAAAGTCTACCAAAGAAGAAGGAATAAATATATGTGACAACAACATTGTTTTGGCAACATAAATAATATGAGTGGACATGTATAATAATGCACTACTCTGTCTAGTATTTTGTTTTAGTTAAAACGAGTCTGTAGTAATTTGTTGGTCTACTTAAACATTATAAATACCTCTCTAGTTGTAAATAAAAGCATTATGGAATATAATATCTGGTTTTCCTCTTCTTCTCATATCTCATTTCTTTCTTTGGGAGTTTACGCCTACTCTAAAGGTGCCTAATCTTCTTGATCCTTCAAGAAGCTTATCAGAGTTCTTGCTGCACTTACTCTTCTCTTTCCTTCAAGCAATTGGAGATTTGGGGTGATTATTTGATAGAATTTTTGCTTCCTGGAACTTTTTCCTTTGAAGTGTTAAGCATCCCTTTCATCTGGGATTTTGTAGCTTGCATAAATTAGCAACAGTTTTTTATTAGGGATGCAACTATGGAAATTACTGATTTCACATGCTGTTATTCATCGCAAGGCATTCATATGGCAACTAGTCCTGCTTGTTTTTGTTTCTTCGAGTAACAAATCTTTGAAAACATTCTGCTCGTTTATTGTATGGCATACAGGCGGGAGATTTCTAATTGTAAATACCAAATCTGCTACTTAGTTCAACAGAGCTATCTAAATTTTCTAGAATTTGAATTTATGAATTTGTTGAGGCGTTCTGTTCAGGGATGAAATCGATTGTAAAACTTAGTTGAAGACCAAGATCTAGATGGTAGCACTATTATTCCTCATCGAGAACATCCAAATGGATCTAATTGTCCTTAAATCTTCTCAAAGTTTTTAGCTGGGTAGCATCTTAATCTCATGTTAAAAAATACATCATCAAGAAACTTAATGATGTATTTTTTCTTAGCATGTGTTACAATGCTGATAGGAAGTGCTTGTATTCACAAGCAACCTATCCAAAATCGGCGAACCAACAGCAGCCAAATGGCTGTCCACAGCAGGAAAACAGCAGATTTCTGCTGTTTACAGCAGGAAAACAGCACTTGTTCGGGAAAATACGAGAGAAAACTCAAGAAAAGACTTGTATTCATGAATAAAAGAGCAAGATACAATTGATCCTCAATTCGAGAGGAGGATCGATCTCTCCCAAATCTCTAGACGCCGCTAGAGCCCAAAGAAAGCCTAAATCTAAGAGATCTCAAATTTCAGCCCAAATTCAAGATGGCCAAACCCTAGGAAAAACAAATATTTAATGCATACAAATCAAAAGAAATTCCCTAAACAGTCCCTACATTCAAATTCCCCTCTTAATTTCCCCAAAAAAGCTTCCTATTCGGCTCCCGCAAGGCGTGCGGTGCGCGCGGCCTCCGCCCAGGCGAACAAATCGCCTGTTTCGCGATATTCGGGCGTGAACCGGTCCCGCCTGGACCGGCTGGACCGGTCTAACAAATGCACTCTCCCATGGCTTCAATGTATGACTTATAAGTTTAATCCCTCTTTACTTGACACAAAATCTTAAATATCATATTTATTATTTGTTGTTAAACATTAGTGCAAAAATATTTGTCTAATCATTTACAACCAAGGTCTAGATGCTAACAAAAAGATTTGTTAACAACATCACTACAATATCTAACACAACTCATTCAATCTCAATAGGTATATCATCTAGACCTAAAACTTGCTTTTATACATCTTTTTTGAGCGAAGTCTATTTCACTGTTTTGATCATTTTATAATATAATTCATTATAATGTTTGTTACACTATTTCAAAAGAATTTATTCTTTAAAGTTCTCATTTAGTAAGGTCTCAAAATAATATTTTCTTTTTTTCTTTTTGTCTTTATTTTTTTCCAAATAGACTCAACAAAATGAGAAGCTTATGTGATTTGTTTTGGTGAACGCACTCCTCCCGTACTTAATGATAATCAAGTCGGCATTGCGTTCTCATGGCTTCTATTCTATAGACTAAACTAATGTGCCCTCAAATAAACCAGTTAGAACTAAACAAACATGCTTCATAATTCATTTATCCGCTATTTTGTGTCTTTTCCTGCGAAGTCAAAGTCATTATCACCCGGCTATTCGTTATGTTCTTACTAATAAAATTTTCAGGCAAGAACCTGTGAGTAGAACAATATCACTCTGCACTGGAATGCAAAGCTCGACACTTGCTGGCCTCCTAGCAACCCAATTCCTTGGCAGCAGCCAAGCAGTTCCTGCTGCCTGCTCTGTGGTGGTGATGGCTATAGTTGGCTTAAGCCTAGCATCCTTCTGGGGTAACGGATCAAGAGTTAGAGACATTCCTTTTCTCTTCTTCCCTGCAACTTGCTCCACTACCAACACTTGAGGCACAAAATAGGCCAAGAATTGGGTAAAATATTCTACCTTGTTCTTAATACATGAGAAAAAAAATTAGATGGTGGAAAGATAACAGAGGTGAAAGATTGAAAATTTAGTCTATCTTATGTTTCGTTTGGGATGACTTTCTTATTGCTTCTTAAAACAGCTTTATAGTACAAAATTTTTTACTTTTTGCATTAAAAATCTACTTTAAAAAGCAGTAAGAAAGCCGTCCCAAACGAAACCTTAGGCTTCGTTTCTGACAGCTTTAGATCATATTTTTTCCCTGCTTTTAATGACTAAAATGCAGCTTTACAAAATTGTAAAACAGCCGTCATAATGTTTGGAACAACTTTTTTTTCCTTCTTAAAACAACTTTCTAATACAAAAATTAGGATGACTTTCTTATTGCTTCTTAAAACAGCTTTATAGTACAAAATTTTTTACTTTTTGCATTAAAAATCTACTTTAAAAAGCAGTAAGAAAGCCGTCCCAAACGAAACCTTAGGTTTCGTTTGGGACGGCTTTAGATCATCATTTTTTCCCTTCTTTTAATGACTAAAAAGCAGCTTTACAAAATTGTGAAAAAGCCGTCATAACTTTTGGAACAACTTTTTTTTGCTTCTTAAAACAACTTTCTAGTACAAAAATTAAAAATGTTGTACTAATAAGTTGCTTTAAGAAGTAGTAAGAAAGCCCTCCCAAACAAAACCTTAATCTCTATCACACAATCATTTTCTTATTGTTCTCTTTATTCTCTCTTTCTTTCTCTGCTTTCACATTTTCCATCCTCTGTAAGGACTGTAGAATTGATTTATTTACATATTTGCAGAATTGCACGTCGATTTCTCAACCTCAAAAGTAGAATTTAATAGAGTTGCAGAAACGAGTAGTTTCTCAAAGCAGGCTGACCTGCTCACCGATGACCTGATGCATCAAGGTAGGTATGATATGCTGTATAGCAAGAAGTAGCAGATATAAAGCAATATTTTTGATAGCCAGCTATAATTTAAGATGCTCATTGATAATTCTTATGTAACTTATGAGGATTGTATCTAAACCCTCCATGGATCTGTAAATATCTTCCTATTTATCTGTAAAGCTCTTCATGTCAAGTATTTTCTTTTCTTTCCTATGTTGTGCTGTGGACATGGTTTACTGAGTCAAACTTTTGCAGCAATACAAGTAGAGAAACCAATTGAACATGTAAAAGACTTCCAAGATATTTAGGACTTGTATAATCGAGGCTAAAAACTAAAAATTATTCTGTGCGGATGCCGAACAACATTTAAAGACCAATCATATTACGTCATGTCATCCCTTCGCTCGGTACTGTTTGGTCTGCGGCTTAGTACCGCTGATGTGGTTACACCTGATTTACCTCGTAGAGCTGCATCCGGCGTCCGCATAAAATAATTTCTCAAAAATCACATATTTAAGTGTTGGTAGAGCTTCGTTTGCATCTAAAGTAGTTCAATACTTTTATCTGTTGATTCAAATGTTTATGTTGGGAATGTAGGTCTTATGTCCCTGATTGAAAGAGTAGTTTCTGTAGAGATGAGAGTTTGATTACGGTGAATAGTTATTGCAATCATTATGATTGTTGGTCATTTGACAGGCAAAATATTTATGACAGTAAAAAGAGTTTATTATCTTAGTAAAAATCATTTATACATACTTAAATAAGTTGAGAATAACTCCTAATTAAGAATTATTTCACTAGTGTGAGTTGTATATTATAAATGATGTATTTTTTTATATTTAGAGAAAATGTTTATATATTTTTCTTAATGTAATATATTAAAATTTGCATTAAATTGATTTTCTTTTTGTATCAATTCTTAACAATCTCTTATTATAAATATTGATTAATACTAATAAATTTTGGATTAAAAAATCTAAAAGGCTCAATTGCAAGCTTACAATGATTTTGACTACAAAAAATTACAGACAAGAAGATTCTAAATCATTTGATATTGTCATTTTAATCATGCATTCATGATAATGCATTTATCATCATTCATCCAACCGGTATTATTTATCTTGTTAATTAAAATTTAAATAAGGATTATATTTTTTAAAGAAACACTCAAAATCTTTTTATTTATCGTCATTTAAATGCAAATTAATAAATGCATGTATTTTCAAGCATTCTAATTAAATTAGGAAAAATTTATGAAAAAAAAAACATATATTTGAAATTTATTGGGCATTTTGACATCGAATAATGAAAAAAATATATGGTAATTAGGTAAAGTAGAGAATTTAATGTTTTTTATATGTAAAATTTATCTTTAAATATCTATTAAGAAGCTGGTTTGCCCGAGTGGTTAAGGGGGAAGACTTAAGATCTTCTGCACATAAGTGCGCATGGGTTCGAACCCCATAGCCAGCATCTAGAATTTTTTAATTTTCAAATTTATTTCACTTGTACTATTCATGATTTAAATATTATAATTGAAATTCATTGAAATGCAAATAAACAATTTAATATTATTATTTGATATTTAACTTCGTCAAAATATTAATTTGAGAAGAGCAATTTCATCATAAATTGATCGTTTTAATCCATAAGATATTCTTATTCTAATGTGAAGTTGGATTGATGATTTTTCTCTTACTTCATATTTTTGGAAATGGCTCCTTTTATTGCAAATAATCTATTTTATTTTATAGTCTTCTTTTGATGAAATTATTATGTGTTGTTCTTTTTCTTGCAAATAATCTACTATAAAATTTTTGATAAAATTATTATATGCGGTCATCAGATTGTTCGGAGGCGAATCAAAACTCGTCACGTGCATATTTCACATACTTGATTGAGATATTCATTTTAGATGCATATAAAAAAAGACGTGATAAAATTATAAGGAGAATTTGACATTTAAGATGATGAGTTAAATAAAAATTATGGTTAAAAAATAAGAATAATTTTTTTTTTATTTGCTTAAATTAATGTTTCTAGTATGTAAGGAAATTAGTCTCCATCTTTTGTTTAGTTTATAAAGGATCGCCTCCTATTATAAAAAAATTAATAATATACATAAAGGTGGCTCTAGGCTAAGATATCGAGACGCTCAGTTTGACTGTAAGCTCGCTGAAATCGGAGTTCGGGTGCTCCCAGAATTAATTTTTGTAGTTTCCAACTAGCTTTTGCCTCGAGATTCGTGCCAGATCAAGATAATTTTGTGATGCCGTATCAAAGAGTATATTAAGTTTTTTTTTTTTAATTTAAATTTTTTAAGAAGAGTATATTAAACTCTAACTATATTTCTTTGAATCTAGGTACATGCTTGTGATATGCTTATTGAGGAAGGACTACACTTGCTTAATATGATTTGAATCATTGCATATCAAAGAATATATTCCAGTTGATCGGCATAATGTAGAGGAAAAATCCATCAAATAAATGACGAGTAATTCAAAGAAGATAATCAAACATATAGATGAACAACAAACTACAGAGAGAGTTTAATAACCAAAAAGTGTGAAATTAATTTATTTGAAAAATATGAAAATTTTGAAGAAGAATGTTGTGGTGCTAGGCCACTTACAATATTATAAATATTTATGTCTCCCTTATTTTGTTGTTTGGTTAGGAAGAAATTGGAGGAGGAGAAGAAGAGAAATGAGAGAGAAAGATCTTTGGGTCGTATTTGCTCACTGTTCTTGTTACGAATTTTGTTCTATTCATTATAAGTTACTAATCTCTTACTCTCGTTTTCGATGGTTTTGATTTCTACGAATTTTATCTCTTAAATTTGCAAAAAATGTATTATTTTCTTACTTTGTAAGCTTTTACTGTGCAACTTTTAATATGTTATAGATTTTATCATTCTGAATAATATGATATGATTTTATTACCTTTTTACTGGTAAATATGTGTACAAAAATTTCTGAGTAAAATAAGTAGGAAAAATACATACTAAAAATGGGATGAAAAGTGTTATACAATAATATGACATGGTAAGACTACAAGGTAATATGTACTGAAATTATAGATATGATTAAGTTATGAAATAATATAACATTACTACTAGTTTGAATCCAATATGATGTACGTATATGATATACTGATATATACTATGATGACCTCATGTGATATCCTCTAGATCCATATGGTCCACTGGTGAGAGTTAGTGGATGGGAGTTACAAGGAGTCAAGGCGATTGTCACGTATTTCAAGGGAGTTATCCTCTTCTTAATGATTGAATATTATACTAATTATTGTCATTGATTACACATTATTATTATTGTTATTATAGCTTACACTATATTGATACTATGATACTAACTACTGTTACTGATTAGTGTTTTCTATTACTATTATTGTGACAGACACTAAGAAGATTAATATTGATATTGTTACTGATACTATAACTAACAATGATACTATTTTTTTTAATTATTACATTTCCTTAAGCAACAACTAACAATGATACTATAGTGATGATGTAATAGCTAAGATGTGATATTTTATAAATTGATTATTGATACAGATATCCGGTGTGTGTATATATATATATTAATGCATATATTTTTTATATAATTTACAATATACTATTATCTTTTATATTGCATTTATTTCAGTTGTAAGAATTTGATTATTTGTTGGGTAATGTGCTCATTACATGATTTTACATGTATTTTAGAAAATGGTAAGAATCCTACGATATGAGGCTCTGGACCGTATGCATAATTCTTTCTATTGTTTACAAGAAATTAGTAAGCTCTAGTTAAATGATTAAAATGAAAGACATACAATTCTTCCAATATATATCCGAAGGTGAAACAAAAAGCGGAAATGGATTTACAAGATAAAGAAATGTCCGAGATTATCAATATGTTAGACACTCATTCATCCTTTCAAAGAGAAAAAGATGATGTCAAGGGTAAGGCAAAACCTATAGATGTTAAAATTGGTAAAAAGTGATACAACGGATTCAACTCAGGATCTTATAGAACAAATAAAATCTGAAAGATGAACATATCTCAAGGATGGAGAAGAGAAAGGAAAAAAATGATGGCTCTCATGGCTATTATGCAGACTAAAGAATTCCCTACATCAAATGCATTGATTAAGTCATCGCCAGATGAATTAATGTAGATGAGGAAGGGCTACACTGGCTTAATATGCTTATGATATGCTTGTTGAGTAAGGGCTACATTGGCTTCAACAAAATTTAAACAAAATAATAGTAATATTTCATTTGGAACTGTTTTTGTCACTAATTTTTGTTGCTTTAAAGGAATTTATTAATATATTTGCTTTTAAATTGCTAGTATTATGTTGGTGCCTACACTGGCTGGAGGAAAAAATTGATTTGGATCACATAATTTTGATTTTATTTACTAAAAGTCAAAATATTGTTTCCTTACAATTTACAGTTTTCTTTCAAAATTATATATTACTTTCATCTAAAAAATAAATATAAATATAATTATTTTTATAGAATTTTTAAAATTTATTCACATGCAAGATGCCGTGACATTAAACTAGTATATTAATTTATTCATATCTTAAACTTTGGATAAGATAAGTGTTGGATCTAAATTTGTCTCATAGATGATACTCGACATTATTGTAGATCCATCTAGCGAACTGAAATTAAACCCCATTAGTGAGAATAGGGAGTAGAGAGAATAAAGAGAAAGAGAGTAGGCCGACAGGAACGTTACTATCTCAATCTGAATATACAAATAATAAATTAGAGATCGAAAATCTCTCGGTGGAGAGTCCAATAGGCTCCAAAATTATTCTTCATCGCCTCTTAATTATCAGATTTTGAAAGCTACAAGAAAAGCTATATAGAAAAAAAAAAAGCTACATAGAATATATGTTCAACGCTGGATGTTAATCTAAGATATATGTCACTTCCTAGTTAGTTGTAGGAGGGAAAAGCTAATGGTCAGGCAACCTGTTCGCCCCTCAAGCAAGCTCAGGAGGTACGAATATGTGTAAGATGAGTTTATGGGAGAGCCCTAAAAGGAGTGGTCCCGTAACTGACAAGTCATCTAATACGATCAGAGAATGACATCAAGGCTCGAGGTTGCCTTATCATAAAAGGCGAGCTATGGTGTTTGAAGGGATGAAGAGTCTCTAAGCCTAGTAGTGGTAGCCAAATGGAGAGTGGA